CCTACCCACATCCGTTCGACGCCATCGTAGGGCCCAAAAGATATTACCAAAAGAATGATGAGTACCACCTTCGGTTTCATCTGAACTATCACTACCCTCGGTACGAGGTAGGAGACGTTGCACCGTCTCGGTTAACGCGGCAATTCGCTGTCTCATCTCGACCATCTCATTTCTGATATCATTCTTGACAACAGTGTAGGTGTTCCATTTGTTATCATGCAAAGATTGCCGATCATATTGCCAAGGTCACCCAAGTAGAATGTGACAAGAATCCATAGTCACTATATCACACCATGCCTCATCAAAGTAATTTTGCCAGATAGAAAATGAAACCAAGCACCGTTTGGTAACCTTGATCTCATTGCCTTTCTTGAACCAAGATAGAGAATAAGGATGGGGATGTTCCTCCAACGGAAGATTAAGTTTGTCCACCATTTCTTGAGAAACTACATTCTTACAACTTCCACTATCAATGATCATATTACAAACACGGCCACTAATGTTACAAGTGGAATAAAAGATATTGGTACGCAACCAATCTTCTTAGCTCTCTAGTTTTGGTGAGAGAAGAGTCTTCTTCCAAATAAGAGTAAGACCCTCTTCCTCATCACTATCTCCACCAATTGTCACATTACCCGAAAGATCAAAGATTGGAGCATCTTTAAAGTCACCATGCTTCTCAACGTCTTCAATGAGAAGTGCCTTGTTCCAGTTATTACCCATGTTCTTGCGGCAACCAGAAATCTATGCCCTGGTTCACCACACCGAAAGCATTTGAATGTCCCACCTTGTGGTGTATGTTGGTTTCCGGAAGCACCATTAAAGCGAGGAGCTTGAGAGGAGGAAGCACCCTTATCCACAAACTTGGATCGACTGTATCGATTGGAATAAGGATTAACTGTGGCACTAGATTGAATCACGAAATCGACTGTATCGATTGGAATAAGGATTAACTGTGGCACTAGATTGAATCACGAAATCGACTGTATCGATTGGAATAAGGATTAACTGTGGCACTAGATTGAATCACGAAATCGACTGTATCGATTGGAATAAGGATTAACTGTGGCACTAGATTGAATCACGAAATCGACTGTATCGATGTCAAATCGAAATCGATCTGCCCACCAAGGTTCTTGAGACGACTCCCAGCGAAGAACCCAGGCGAAGATTCAATTAGTGAACTTGAATCGAAAGTTCCAGCGCTGGATCGAAAGTTCCAGCGCTGGATCGACAGTGAATCAGCGAAGCCAAATTCATAGTCGAACCCACAACTCAAATCACAATGGTGAATTGTGATGATGGATTGAAATCTGGACTGGATATTGATTTCAGCTTTTGAATGAACTCAGGTTCTACGACCGAGAGCCAACTCCAATTACAATTCCATTTGAAGCAAAAATGAACCAGTTTCAAAATCGCCAATCAAATTAGGGCTTCAATTTGATCTATAATGATGATCCCATCAAATTGAGGTTTCGAAGATCAAGCTAGTTTTGAGGTAATGGTCTGTGATAATCAGTAGGTTAGGATCTAAATCTTGATGCTCTGATACCAAAATGATGAAAGGGTTAATCAAGAACTAGAGAGAGAGAGAGGAACTTAGAGAGAGATCTAAGAGAGAAATTCTCAATTCAATTCAATATATCCAAGTTAGTTACAAATGATGTGATACTCATCTATTTATAGGATACACTATTTAACACATGCTATGCACATGACACTACATCAATATTAACTTGTGAGATAAACTTAAAGCTTGCCAAGGAATAATTGCCCACATACTATACTACCAATCATAGAGGCAGAGATTTCGACTATCCACTGTGGCCTTACTATAATTCTTGAGAAAAGCTGGATGGACATGGAAATTGAACTGGACTACACCGAGGCAATCTAGCTAATTCAAAATGAAGTTCAACAGAACTGCTCTTTCAAAGCACTCATTGAAGATGCCAAATTTCTACTTGGACAAACAAATTGTGTTCTTAAGCATATCCATCGCGAGACTAACAGATGAGAGGATGCCTTAGCAAAAACCCATCTGAAGCACTTAGGCCCCTCCTTGTAGCAGATATGGTGGGAACTGTGTATGAGAGGATATAGTCTCTCTTGATTGTTTATTTCTTTGTTGTAAAACTCTGTTTATTTCAATTCCAAAGCAACAATATATATACGCGGACAAATATATATATGCATGACTAGATATATAATTTTTATGCATAAATTACAAAATGAGAGGTTCAATCCATGTTAACTTGTGAGACAAACAAATTAAGTTTGATTTTCTTTGAAACTTGTGAGACAGAACTGCTATTTCAAAGCACTCATTTCTTTGAAACAAATTAAATATATATATAATTTTTTCTCGATTATTTGAGAAAAAGGCCAAATCCGTCTCCATCCCCTATTTCAAACCACCTCTCTGTCTCTCTTGCCTCCCAGAAAATGATGCTGAGCAGAATAGTTCAACTTGTGACCCACTGTGATGGAACCTTTCCAAGAATATGGACCTTCCAAACTATTGGTTTGTAAAGAGATGTAATTGTATCAAATGTTAAAGAATTTTAACACACCCACATCCAAAATGTACTAGGTCACACCAAATTGTTCTGGCTCTTTCAGTAGCCAATCATGTTATGGAATAGATACGTATAATGTCACTGGACCACAAGGGTTTCGATTGTTACTGCTCTCAAAAATTAGTTGAATTTTACATATACGTGTGCATGAATGGAGCCACAAACATTCGAGTGAAGTCTCTTCCATTCGAAATTTCAAACATTTTACTCTTAGCTGAAATGAAAGTCCTCCAAATTTTCTAAGTTCATTTTTAAAAAATAAAACATTAACCAACCAAATCTTTATTGAAACTAAAGAAATTGTTCAAACTTCTTGTACCAATTTAAATGTAATACAAAAGTTTAATGAAACACAAATCATATTTAGAAGAAAATTTAGAACAATTTTTATTTTTTTAGTAATTTGTTAAAACTTTAAGTATATAGTATAATTTTGTCAATTTGTTATGAATGTCTTATCGTGACATATGGTCCTCATCTGCTGAATTCTATATAAGCCAAAAAAAAAAAAAGTTGTGGAAAATAGAAAAAAAATTATTTGATAATTTAAAAGAAAAAAAATTAAAAGAACTCATTATTTTCATATCATTGTATCTTTTCCATAACCAAGGTTTTGGATTGGAGGGTATTGTTCGGACCCGTGGGATCCACCACGGGTCTTATTTTGATAATTCGAACCGTTCATTTTGTCGAACACTTTGTATATTTCATCCATGCAAAAAATTAGGTCTATCCATAACTATAACTTGTTCAATTTATTGCGTTTGTCATCAAAAAAAAATATATGATTTATTTTTAAAAATATAATTGTCGTTTATTTTTTTTTCTTTTTTGTGTGAAAAACACGGTAAATTAAATATGTTACGATTGTCAGATGACCTAATTTTTTGTATGAATAAAATACACAGAGCACTTAACAATATGAATGGTTTAGATCATCAAAACAAGGCTCGTGGTGGGCTCCACGGGCCCAAACAAGGTCCTCCAGTCTAGATTTTGAGCTAGAGTGGATCTACCTCCATTTTTTAAAATTCAAAAATATTTTGATGTTTATTTTTAATAAACTAGATTATATTTTTTCACAAAAAAAGAAAAAGAAAAAGAAAACAAACAGATGAACATTTATTAAAATACATTTTTGGGGAAATTAAAAAAAGTATCCAAAATTTGACCCTGGTAATAAAATAAATCATGAATTTTTAATTTTTTTAATTTAAACCTTAATAATTTGATTTATTTTCAATTTAAACCATTCGATTTTTTTTATTAATGGTATTTTAATTATTAAGCTTAATAAAGTGTACATAAAATATCTAAAATATAATTTTTTGTTAACTTTAGAAATAAATCAAAATATTAAAGTTTAAAGTTCAAATTAACAAAATTCAAAATTCAAATTTTTTTTTGAGGCACTTTTTCATAAATCTCTTTTCACTTACTTATGTTCCATTTAATCCATATTATTTTCTTATATTCTAATAATCCTTATGAGTGACATAGTTACCAAAATACCCCTAATAATATTCATATTTGCAGTATGAATGTTCCGTGATGTGAATGTTCACACTATCAATATGAATGTTAACACTACCAAAATACCCCTAATAATATGAATGTTCACACCATCAATGTGAATGTTAACATGTCATGTGAATGTTCACACTATCAATGTGAATATTCACACATCAATGCGAATATTCACATTGTAAAATATGAATGTTCACGTCACTAAATTGTTCATTGTTCAAAAAATATTTGTAAAGGTGTAACAAGCCCGCGGGGGACCTCGCTACAGCTCGGACTCGATTTGTAGTCACGGTTCTAAGTCTGAACCAAAGAGTCCAAATCAGGCAAATCGTTTTGAGAAAACAGATTTTTGAAAGAAGTGCCAAACATGGACTGCTTTGCCAGATACAGAGTCGCCACCTAAATATTTTATTTTGGGAAATTTAGGAAACCCTGACTCGGTGCCAAAAGGCCACGTGTCCCGTCATTACAAACAAGCCACGACGCTGCATGCATACGACGATGCTCTCATATGCAGAAAATTTCTGAGCAGTTTGGGACCACTGGCTGCCAGGTGGTATTATAAACTGGAGCTGGCTTCGATCAAGAGCTTCTACCAACTCTAAAAATCCTTTAGGGCAAGGTTTATCACTAATAAGGTCCAGCCAAAGCAAGCCGATTCCCTCTAGGCAATGCAAATTCAACCGGAGAAAACCCTTCGTGCGTATTCGGCGTGGTATTGGGAGTGTTTTAATCTAGTAGATGATGCTTGCAATGACTCTATGGCCATTACAAAAAAAAAAAAAAAAATCCCAAATCCTTGCATATTTTCCAAACTGCCATAAACATTCATCTAAACTTAAAATAAATAGATAAATAACAAAAAAATAAAAAATAAAAAATCCCACCATGCAGTAATCAAAGCCCATTAATTATTTTATACGAGATTTAAGCGTTGTTCAAGTGATTATGTTTCGAAGTTTGCAGAACAAAATTTAATATTTGAAAACATGTTGAAGGCTGGAGTGTATTACTTACTGACTTGTAACATCTTAGTGCACGCACACGAAAAAAACAAAACAAAAAAACAATTTTATTTAGAGATAAATAGTAATAAACAAACAAACAAACAAATATGGCTTACCCAGTTAATGCATTCATGAAGAGCCAGAAGGCAATTTTCCAAGTCAATTTCTTTTCTTTGCCTCTGCAATAAGGGCACCATTCTTAATTAATTTAATTATCAACATCTATAATATTAATTAATGAACAAACAGAATTAATTAAAATGTAATCATGATGAGAAATTACTATTACTATTACTATATTACTAACAAAACAAAATAAAAAAGAATTAAGCAAACCTTTCACAGAAGAAAGCCAAAGGAACAACACAGATAGCACCCACGACATGGCGGTAGGACATGAGAGCAAAAATGAAGGTGCCCTCGATGAGAATAACCCTAGATAACAGTTGGAGTCCCGTGGCGAACACTTGCACCATTAGCATGCTCAACATTTCTCTTGAATCCCATACCCATTTCTTCACTTCACCACTACTAAACATCTTCCTGTTTCTGTGTCTCAAGAAGAGAAGAAGACGCCGATCAAAAAAGAAGATAAGACTCAGAACCTCTCAAGTCTGCAAAATAGACAATTTTGTATCGTGAGAAAGAGAAGACTGTTTTGATTAATTGACAGCTCTGTTTGGCAAATGGTTTTGGGATATTTTTTTGGTTAAAATTTCCCAAAGACAAAGTAAGTTAAAATAATTAATAAAATAAAATGTCACATTAAATTGATAATCGTTTTACTTTTTTGTTTTTCTAAACATTAAATTCAATTATAAAATAAAAATTAAATTATTTTTTTAAACACAAAAATTTTAACCTACAAAAATAACTAAAAATTAAAATAACATATTAAAATAATAACTTTTCAAACACTCACGCTGTAAAACACAAGTGAATGTGAAAGTGTGCATGTGATGAGATGTGGGACTTTGTACATCTCATGAGACACGAAGACGGTTACAGCTACTATATAATTGTATCTAGTACTGATCAAGTACGGATGAAACACAAAATTAACCACTCAAAAATTATTAGTTCAACACATATTCTCCATTGAAAAATTATCTTGTCTTCTATAAATTTACACGTCTTTTCAATTTTATTAGTTTTTTTTTTTATGTAATATATAAGAGAAAAAAATAAAAAATAATAGGTATATAAACAATAGAATTATAAAGACATACTAAGTAACATATGTGGCAAACCTATATAATAATTTTTCATACCTCACACTATACAAATTTAATATATACAAAACAACCACTCACGTTAAAAAAATTTGAGTGGATAAGTCTAGATTCTGAGACTTTCCCTTCATTTGTTTATTTATTTACTAGAGTAATTCATGTGCTATGTACGGTTTCAAATAAATAATTAATAAATAATTTCAAAATTATACAGTAAAAAAAATAGAATTAATTAATTTTTAACTATTTTTATCACATTTTCACTTATGTATTTTTTTTAACACTTCTAAATAACAAATACATAAATTACAATGTAATTAGTAAAAATTAAATAAAAAATATGGTAAGTTATAAAATTGCACTTTTTTATTTTTATTTTTAGAAACAAAAACTACATTATTATTTTCTAAGAGTTTCATAATTTTAATTTGTCATATATTAAATTCATATGATGATATCGCAAACTATATATAATAATTACCCTCTTTTTTTTCTTTTTTTTTCTTCTTCTTCTTCTTTGTTTTTTTTTTTTTTTTTTTGTGTGAAATTCAATCTAGCAAAATTTGTTTAAATCAAAATATTGAATAACAAAATGAAAATGACAAACAATAAATTACCAATGACTCTTATCCTTTTGTCCTTCATAAAATCAGCATTTACTTACCAAGTGCAACTTCTAGATTTTCTCGCACTTCCTAACTTTGACAAGTCACATTGGGCCCTTTTCTTGTTTTTCCCCTCTCACCCATCTCGTGACTTTCACGACCCCTATCATCTAACATTTTTTCTGCTAGACATTTTAACTTCTCTTTGTCAGTGGTCCTTGCCTTGTCACCACCATTTTATGAAACCCCTATGTAACAATCTGTTCTGGGTAACTGCTCGAGTGGTCAATGTGCCCAATTGCCCTGTCTTGAGCGTATCGCTGGACGAATATGGGAATGGTTTTTTGGGTGTCCACGAGCCTGCCATTTTTCGAGTTGGCAAATGTGGAAAAACATGGTTTTGGGTCCACAAGTCCGTTGTTTCAGGAGTCAACAAATGTACAAGGGGAAGGTTTTCGGTGCCAATCGCCCCTCTGTTTTTTTTAGAGTCGGCTAATGTTGGAATATTTTCTGTATATCAATCTATATATGTATATATATGGTTTGCGGCTCTTGCTTGGGACGTCATAGCATATTTACCACCCCATTGTTCAATTGAGACTAGTTGTTGGTATTAAGCATCTTATATCATATTTTAAAAAACTTGGATATATTTCATTTGTGGCAAGGCATGATCATTTGTGTTTCGATTAATTATATAACTCGTTAATGGTATATTTTATAATTTAATATATATCATACAAAATTATTATATGATAATTACACTTTTATAATACGATATAATTAAAATTATCAAAATACACAAATAATTTAACTAAAATTAATATATGTATATATATATATAAGTATTCAAGTAATAATTTTATAAAACGATAGCGTCAATATTATCAAAATAAATAATCAAAATCATAGTTTAATTTTAATTTTAATTTTAATTTTAATTTTAAATTTAAATTATTCTTTTATAACACACATTGTACCATCAAATATTTTTTGAAAAAAAAAATTGTACGTACATTGCACAGGTCAACTGTTAGTTGGTTATTATAATTGAAATTGAGTTTGTGTAGAACTTTATATATAAATGGAAAATGCATCCTAATGTGGCTTTTTTAGAGGGGAAAAAAAGAGAGAATGTGCTGCCTAAGTAAAGAAAAAATGCTACTTTTAATATATATATATGTATATAATTTGACTCAATCATTATATTTTATGTCCCACATACACATTCTATGTTTTAATTAGAGTTTTAATATAAAGATATCATTAATTATACCTTAAGAAATGCTCTAGAGACACTCTAATAAGAATTATCGTTTGACCTGAAAGCTTGCTACCCGATTTAGGCATGTCTAGCTTTGACCCAACCCAAGTCTATATCTAGGTAAATCGAACTAGTCAAATAAACTTGGTCAGGCATCAAGCCTGAGTGTTGAATTCCAACCCAACTCAATAGAGTTTTATTGACCTAAGCTCGCACCCAAACGGATTGGGCTAGCCGGATGGCCTTGGGTTTTGCCTAAGCCTAGATCTTGAAGCTCCCCTTAAGAAGCTTCCCATAAGTCAATAGTGGCATTTTGAGCTCGCTAAACATAGAAAAAATAAATAAATAGAAGAAAAAATAAAAAGTGGTTTTGGTAGAAGTAAGGGCGTATAGCTGGAAATATCTTTCCGTCTCATAATAATTGGAAGAATAATATTAGGAATCATAAAAAAAAATATTATAAAATTTTTCATAAAGATTTTTTCTCTTTTGATTAGTATATAGTGTTTTCTTATATATGTAATCTGATGATGGAAAATCTTTCATAATTATTTTCATGATATTTTTTTCATGATACTTAGCATTACTGCACATACACTTTTCAGGCTTGGTTTGGGAAGTAGGTTAGCTTTTTGGCTTTTTTGGCTATTTTAGCCTGGGCTAAAAAGCTTGGTTTGAGAAGGGCTTTTTGGCTTTTTTGACTTTTTTTGTGAGAGAAGAATGTAATGATTATAGGTTGGATGTGATGTTTTGTTTGTTATGGCTAAAATAGCCTATTTTGTTTTTTGTGGCTAAAATAGCCAAAAAAGCCTGAAAACCATCTTGCCAAACAGAGGCAAGGTTTTGGCTCTGTTTGGTATAACTTTTGAATCATGATTCTACCTTTTAGTTTGAGTGTGGCATTTGTTTGCGGTTTTCAAAACACATTTCCACACCCGCATTTGAAAATTCGTGTACCCGGATGTCCCCCGAACGTCCGGTCGATTGACCGAAACAGTATTCTTGATTTTTTTATTTTATTATTATTACTTTTTTTTTCTTTGCACTAGTTATTTTTATATGTTAAATAAAAAATATTTTCAATTTTTTAAAAATTTTTTTATGAGTTTTAAATAGAATTTTGAGTTGTATATTTGGTTATAAGTTGTAAATTTTTATATAAAAATTATGTCACATCACTCAATTCAAAAATCATTTTCAAAACTCATTCACCAAACAAATTTTTTACATTCAAATCATAATTCCAAAATTCACAAACTCAAAATATATCTCATATTCTCAAATCATATTTAGAAAACTCTACCCAGCGCAATCTTTAGGAGTACTTCTTGTGGTTCTCTAAAATTGATTACTTTCAGCTACCTTTCTTAGAGTTCCCTACTCTTCATGAGTTAGTTTTTAGGTTATAGTTTAAACAAGCCATATGTTTGATATATTTATATTTTTTTTAATTTTTATAATGATTAAAATAAATCATGTTATTTGATAATTTTATTCACCTTTTAACTTTTTGGTAAGGAGGTTTTTTTTTTTTTTTTTTGGTCATTAGAGATTTTTTTTTTTTTAAATTTTTAGTTTCTTTTAACCTAGATGACCCTAAGAATTTTTAAAATAATTGAAAATTGAGAAAAATTACTAAATAGAAAAATAAGCTAAAATATCACAATTTTACTCCCAATACTTTTTTAAAAATTCTATTGTGTAAAGCTCCACAATACTATAAAGATAATGAATAAAGCTTCGGACCCCAGTGGGGTGCTGGGGTCCCTTCCCATTGGTCAAAAAAATAGTTTTTTTTTTTTTTTTTCAGCCAACCCCAGGCCGACACGTGGCACTGGGAGGTCACTGGGAGTCTGTAGCATTGCTGAAAGATAATATAATAATTTTTCTCCAAAAACCAGTTTGGAAAGACTAAAAAATAACATTTTTTTTAGAAATTACGAACAAAATGTTTTAGATTCTTAAAAAGCAAAAAAATTAAAAATTAAAAATTAAAAAGCAAATGTCAAACTCCATATGTTAGTGCCAAAGAAAATAAGTCTTTTTTTTAAACTAAAATAAATCAAATTATATACTCTTTAATTTTTTGACTAATTGTATAAAAGATAAAATAATTTAATATTCTTTTGATGTGTGATAAATAAAATTTTATTAGTATTATTTTTACTTATTAAGCTAAAAACACTAACTTGGGTGATTGGGGAAGTTGGTTAAAAATTGACTTTTTGATTTTTTTGTCCTTTTATGTGTAAAAAATGTAAGAGGCAATGTGACTTAAAATGGATTAAAAACTGAAAGCTAGCTTTTAGTTAGTTTCCCAAGTATTTCTAGAAGAAAGACCTTATAATACTAAATGCATCACATAGGGGTAACTTCTAGGGTTAAATCCTATAAGGAGTCAAAACTCCAGAGATCACTCTTAGGTGATTGATATATAGTAAGGTTACTCAACCATATAATAGTAAGTTACAGACTCGTATATAAGTGGGGATTCAAATCCACACACTTAACACTAGGTATGATTCACTCAAGTCTAAAAAAATTATTCTACTAATTATATGTATTGTTGCCTGAGTTAGTGATCCTAAAAAAGTGGAACTTTGTATCTCAAAGCTTACGCTCTAAAATTTTACCGAAGTGTCACACGCCTGTATCCATAAATCCCATTTATGTTGATGCCTTTCTTTTATCCAAAACTAGGGTTGGAAAAACAAGGTAACTCATAGAAGGATAATACCAACAGAGATTTAGGGGGGCTTGGGACGATGGTTTGATGTTAAAATAGTCAATAAAAATAAATAAATTAAAATAATTAATAAAATAAACATCATATCTT